GGAGAAATCCAGGTAGACTGGCAGAAAGGTGGTAAGGCTGCATCCCCAATTTACAAATTGGCACGGGACTAATCAGGATGTCAAGGAAGACCTCCTTCACTTACTGTTTTTTCTTGTCCTGCAACAGTGTGTTCCAGTTGAGTGTTCTGCACCTTAGCCCTTCATCGTTCTCACCTTCCTCACTCCTTCTTGTTGCACTCCCTCCCATTGGTGTATGGCTTTGTGAGTGAAGGAGTCGCTGTCTATGTTTGAACAGAATGCACGCAAGTGATCTGCGTGATCATGAAGAGCCACAGAGGAGATGGCTTCAGCTGTAAAAACTGGGAAATAACAAATGAATGAATGAAATTTAGTGTAAAGAAATGTATCACAGGAGATAGAGAAGAAGGCTGTCCCTCATTCATTGCCGAGTTGCTCTTTAACACTGTTGTTCCGCAGTTTTAGTGTTGTCTTCTAGATGTTTCCATTGTGTAATTGAAAGGCAGGTTGTACAGAAAATGAAGACGCTAAATGAATCTTTGATAATTCTTCCTGCAGAATGCATTGCTTTGAACAGAGAAATAATTGTAATAATTACACTTCAGCTCTCAGAATTATAGCATTGAAATGAAAAAGACTAATCAACTGTACCTTTCTTCTACTCCACGGACCACCCGGGATACTTAATTAACAATAATGTTACTGGTGTAGTTTCTGTCTTTACCCACTGGAAAACAAATTAATACTTATCTGTTCGAAGGAAAATGAATACAAATTAGAATTCTTATCTGCAGTGGAAAACCTAGATTTGTCTCAGGATTTCTTAAGAGATTGTCCTACTGATAGTCTGTTCTCCATAGGTGCGGTGGGCAGATCTAGAAGAAAAAAAAGATGCAGACAGGAAAAGGGCCATTGGTTTTGTTGTTGGACAAACAGACTGGGAGAAGATAACAGATGAAAGTGGTCATCTTGCTGAGAGAGCCCTCAACCGCACCAAGTATATATGAAAAACTGGTTAAATGAATTTTGTGCCTTTAAGGTAAGTATTCAGTCTTTCTCTTGTTCATAGCCTTGATGGGTCTCAGGGGTTTTTTTAAGAGTTAAGGTCGTAGTTCATGTCATTGTTAGAGTTCTTCCAGACAAGATTTTTTGATTTGGAGCCTTGTAGGTGTCAGCTATGGCCATGTCAATCTGCCTGCACTCTCCTGTACAGCATCTAAAAATAAAAGGATTGTCAGCTATCAATCTCCAAACCTTAATAGCAGGAAGATTATGTTTTCGTTAGAAGAGTGGTTTAGCTGTGTGCCTAAGTCAAGTCCTGTCTAGTTCAGATTTGGCTTGCTATATCTTAACACTGACCACATTAATTGCTGTTTCACTTGGTGTAACAAAATTTTCCTTTCTTTACAGGCCATTTGCTCTGAGGAGAAGTGAACCAAGGTGTCATGAGCATCTTGCATGGGTCATATCACTCCCACCTTCACAGTTTGTCTTCGTTACTTTAGTTTCATCAGTTTTTCTTGAGATATTGGCGGATAACCAGTGCCCTCAAAAAAACCAGCGCATCCCACTGCTCCTAAGTGAGAGAGACAGTTTACTTTTTAATACTTTTGGAGGGGAGGGAGGGGGAGGGCCAGTAGTTTTAGCTGGTGTTTGTGGAATAAAGTGGAAGGGTTAGACAGACATTACCTTCACTGTACCATCACAGAATGTTTATCACCTTTGCTTTGTGGCTGTTCTCGTTTTATACTGTATGTACCTTGTAGCTTATTGTATTAGGAAGCAGAACAATAAATTTCACTATAAACTTGATGTTCTTGGTGGACCATATAGCATGTTTTTTGTTTGACATTTTACATGTGGTCTGTGTTCACATGTTGACAGTGCTCAGAATCGTCCTCACCTGGAAGAGGTGCTCTGCTCATATTCTGGAATGTGTACGGTCTTCTAGGTTTATCACCTGCTCTTCTTCTCATAGACAGCCCCATTAAGGCCCCAGGTTTTGCTGGCCTTTAGGAGCCATACCCTTCTCATTCTTCTTGGAGAGCTGGAATGATCATTATTTTTTGGATCCTAGTTTCTCAGTTACATCAAATTTCCATTACTACATGAGTATTAATTATATTGGGTGGCTCTGAAATACTCAAGGTAGTAATGTATGAGAAACATTTCTTTAATGCTCAACTTAAAAACAGGTACTATTGAGTTCTCTGGAGGGCAGTCTAGAAAATTCATTTTGGTCTTAGTGTGTCTTTTAGTCAACACTGATCCCTATCAGGGTATTTCATTCCATTCATAAGTCTCCTGTGTCATAGAGAAACATCATTAAAAGAAGCAACAAAGACCAGAAGTTATACCCTTCTATTCCTTTGATAAATGTGTTTAGCTAAAAAAGATAAATGAATAGCAGTCCATGCTATTAAAAGTGGTACAAATTCTTCATAGATGCTGCTTTATCACTTCTGCACAGCATCAGGTTTGCTGATGAAAACTTCTTGTCCTCTCAGGTTTTGAAGCAAATGCGTTGTGTTAAAAAGTATGTACCCAGCCAAGGTGTTTAAATCCAAACATACTTGAATTTTTTCTCATGATCTTTATGAGGGAAGAAAATGAACTTCTGAATTTCCTTCTCTGCTATTCTTTGTTGCTCTGCTGAGTGATTGCATTGTGTTTTGCATTTAGGTTGATAAATCAACTAGTTCTGGTGTGGTGGTAGTTCGTGCTGTTAAAGGAGAGCTGTGGTGCTAATAGATGGTTTTGTTTGCCATTATGATGTTTTGGTTTATTGGATGTTTCTCAGCGTTGTCTGTGGTGCATGATTGAAAGCTTTTCAGTAAACGAGGGGAGTAGCTGATCTGGTTACGCCATGAGTGTGTTAAATACAAGAAATCAAGCTCCCTGAATGCAGCGTTTTAAAAATAAAAGGTAATAAATATGCATTTTCAGTGTACACATAGTATTATGTAGCATATATGCTTTCTTTTTAAATGTTTAAATGAATTCTGACTGACAATTGTTGACAAAGTGACACAGTTAACAAAATATCAGTATTGTGTATTGTGTGTGGGAATCAGGCAAGCTTCACTTTGGAGAAGTTATTCTCTCAGGTATGTGTAAAATGGATTTCAGTCTATCCTTAGTAGTCTAACAAAACTGGAGTTCTTGTGGCATGCTGTTGCTATGATGTGATGCTGTTTCTTGACTTCTAAAAACTAACAATGGTTTTGTCTGTATTTTTGATATACAACAGAGCCAGATCTTTTTCTAACATTTTCCTTTCCAGGCTAAATAATATTTCTGGAACATGAAATATATAGTGTGTGACAGAACTGATCATATTGTTTACTGGTTTTAATAATTTAAAAAATTATTTTAGCAAACAACACCCACAGGGTTCACACTCTTTGTTCTGTGGTGCATGTAGAATTAGAGAGAGATGAGCAGAGAATACACATAGAGTTATACTTCACTCTGATGAGAACAGAGTGAAAATGCATCAATCTTCAAGTTTGGGGCAGAATTTCTGTTACGAAAACATACTGTTGCAGGCTCTCTGATCAGAACAGGCTGAAGGGCTTACATTTTCTTGTTGTTTTCCTGACTCACTGAAGTTCAGAACTTGTTTCCATTTCTGTAGTACAGACATGTCATGCCATGCCATAATCTTTGCCATTTGTTTCAGTTGGTTTGAATGTTTAGCAGGTCAGTCTTCATCTGCTTGAAGGCAAGTGGCTCTCAAAGAAAATAACTTATGCAAGGTCTACAACCTATAACAGATGCTACATACTCTAGTCCTTCAGTGAATGAAGAAATGAAGCAAAAAGGAAAAATTCATCATTGCTGCTGACAGAACTGAGAATAGCTAGGTAATCCTGTGCTTGGTTTGTAGTCAGGTTGGTGATTAGTAATTTTGCTTGTCTGGAAATCCTTCGCTGCAGAATCCAGTAAGTTTTGATCCTGATTTAGTGCTTACTCATCATCTGCTCAGTGATATTGACAGTAGAGTATTTCACAGTGCTGAACAGAGAGAATACCCACTTTTCATTAAAGGCTAAATAGGAAAATATGCATCCAGCACTCTCAGATAATGATCCATCTGTGACTATGCATGCAGCTGTGCTAATTCTTTATGAAAGATTGAATTGGAAAAGTAGAGTTATAATACTACACTGAATCTAATATATTAACCCATCCCAAGAAAGGCCGTATCCAATCCAGTTGAATACTTAAAAATTATGAAGAATCATGGTTCGCAAATCACACTACAAAGTATGCTTCTTGCAGAAAAATACTGTCATCAGTGTGTTTTTAAATGAGAGATAACATGACCTCACCAGCCAAAATCAGTTTTTCTCTGTTTGAGATTTCAACATCATTGGAACACTCTGAGAATCCTTTTCAAAGGAATGAAGTAATTCAGCCTGTACAACAGCTTGTTGCCACCTATGCAAATTTTTTGTTACCAGAAGAAAAAATATTCTTTGACCATTTATTTAATGCAGCTTTTGTGATGAATCTTTTCATGCCCTTTGAACATAACTTCCCTTAGCAGATTGTGCCCTTTTGTTATTAATATTGCTGCTACAAAATTTTGGAAGCCCACACAGTACTGGACAGACCTCAGGACTTGAAGAAAATGTTGATCTGGGTTGGAGGCAAATCGTGCTTTTTGCTAGGAAGGTCCTAACGTCTCTGCCAGCATGCAGCTAGCAAACGGTGAGCTGATTAAACTGAAACCCAGGAACGAACTCCCTTGGAGTATTGTTAACTCCATGTACGTGGGCTGGAAATAGGAAGCAGTACTGAGAGTTTTCTTTGCCTGCTGAACATTCACATGGTCTGAATCCTTAGGAAGCCAAATACTGATGCATACATGGTTCCTTTTTATTATGCCTCTCATAGTAGAAATTACAGGAGAAAGAATAGAAATTTCCTAGAGTTTAAAATATGAGTGGCACAGTTCTCTATTTTGAGTCTCTAGGGCAATCATCTTTATTCTCTCATAAAACTTGAATCAAAGGTTTGGGGTTTTTTTTCCCCTCTTCTGCTCATCTGTTACTACAGGTGTGGGTCAGAATCCTTCAACCAACTAAAGGAATGCAGACTTCCTCTTCTGATTTCTGCTCAAGATTAATCTCTTCTTCACAGTGAAACTGTTTTTTTCTTATCTGTGGAGTGTTCCAGTAATTGCAGTGTCTCTTTCTACCACTTCCAGATTTGCATGGTATTGGATCTGCAGCCTGGAGCCTTAAGTCTTCCTCATGCATGTAGGTTGGAAAATTGGTCATGACAATACTTCATTCAGGTAGATTTCACTTTCTAGCTGATTAACACTGTTTGGAAGCATAATGTGCTCTTTTATTCATGGTTTTGTGTAAACCAGGTAAGCACAAGTACTGATACCAAAAAAAAACAGTACAGCAAGTTACCGGAAATGAAGAGACAAGAGTGTTTTGAAGTTGCATATGTTTTCCATTCTGTGTTAGGTTTCTAGTCAGGAGGCTCTGGTCTCTTTTGAATTGTAGGATTTAAGATTTGAATATGAAAAACCTTAAGGCTGCCTGGGTGGAAATGACACAGGTCGGGTTTGGTTTGGGTTTTTTTCGTAATGTTTTTCTGACGTGTGGAACTCTCTTGGAATCTCTTTGGGAGGGAGGCCTTTCCCTAGGGCTTATGCTCTGGCGTGTCAGTCATTCAAATATTTCTCCATACTGCTTCCCTTGTATGTGCATACAAAGAAAAAGTTTTTTCCTTAACTAGTTAAGATACACGTGTATGAATGGATGTTCAGCTTTATGCAAGAAATTCCTGATGCTTTTTATTAGGATGGCATCTAAACTGTCTGCTGTGACCAGTATACTCCTATATGAAGTTGCTATGTTTGGACAGTTAGTAGTCTCAGGGGAATACTTGAAGACTGCAAGGTTAGTATCACTTCACTAATTCCTGTCATGTTGCTGTCTTTGGAGAGGAATTAGAACTGCAGTGCTCCTTGCAAAAAAAACCCCAAACACCTGGGAAGTGAAAACTCTCCAGCTAAATGAAGAAAAAACAAGCAAACAAACAAACAAAAAAAACCCCAAAACCGCACAAAAAAAAAAATCAGTTAGTTTTACTCTAATTATCTGCACTGGAATCCATCCTGTGTGGCTAGAATGTGTTAGTAACTCCACTGTCTGAGGTGTGTGCTTTAGCAACTGCCTACATGTGTATATTTGTCGAGGACAGTATGAAATTAATCACTAACATTTTTGTCTGCAAGTCAAAAGTGTAGTTGAGCAAGCAGATTTAGAAAGCAGTTCATCTTGATAAATGTCTGTTAAGGATGGCTTGAAAGTACATTTTATTTCTCTGGAGATTAGCACAGAAAGGGAACAGAGCTGCAGTTCTTCCCTGCTTCAGAGTGTAAATGGCCTTAAAACGTAAAAAAATAAATGTTTATTGTGACAGGTAGGTAATACAGACAGTGACTTCAATTTGGCACAACACTGTATGTGGACAACAAGGTATCTTAAGCAGCATTTAAAGTTATCTTTTTAGTCTGTTTTGGTGAGTCTGATGCAGACAGTAAAACTTTTCTTTGACCACTCTTGCTGATCCAGGTACTAGCCTTTGAACATGTATCTTCTTTTTTTTGAGAATACTATATTATCGTTTGAATCACAGAAAACACAGCTTTATCAACAAACACCTACACTGTTTTAACTTACTCATCTGTGGATGCTCAGAAGTCTTGTGTAAACAATGAGTATTCACTGCTATTCTTTAACGTGGTGGTTTTCCATTTCCTTTGAGCTGAAGTTGCCAAATT